AAAATCAAGCTTCCGGCTAGATCTTTACAACGAACGATACAAAAAACCTAATGATATCACTTATAGAGATGACAAACATTTATGATCAATACCCTTCTTTCACTTTGTCATCCATGCGATTACCGAATACCACTTGTAAAGCTTCGATGGTCTCCATTTATATCTGAGTTTCTATGACCTATTTTGATACACAGTAATGAGCAGTATGAATGGTATGAGCATGAATCTTATACCAGAGAATAGCTGGACGCGTTTGGTCATCCTGTACATCATAGTTGCTTGTGCCATCTGTAATGATGGAGAGTGCGAAAATAGTAACATCGTCATATTTTGTGATGGCTGCAATCTGCTATTTTTACCAAGACTGCTACGGTATATCTTATCTTCCTGAAGGTCAATGGTTATGCCGTAAATGTATCGTCTCACCAAAAGGCAAAGAACTAGAACTTACTTGTGAGATTCCAGTGGCTCATACCAGGGACGTGATATCACCGAGAATCAAGGAGAACCCGCGGATGGCGAACCGGACGTCGAGAGCATGGAGCCAGGGAAGAAAGGATGGTAAGAAAAGTTAGAAGCCAATGGTAGAATGAAAGAAAATGTCGCAACTTACTAGAATTAACCAAGACCGATGATTAGAAATGCCGAAATGCCATCATGATTGTGATCACGATCGCAAAGAAAATAATAATAATAATAAGTTTATTTCACGAAGTGCACACCTAGAATATATATGCATGCATATATATTCACCAAGATGGGAGAATATGGTCCCGACGATTGGAAATACTGGGATACCATCATAATCGTGATCACGATTGCACACTTCCTCCTAGTCACGAAGAAGATGAGGGGAGCAAGAGTGAAACCAGAAGCAATCACGTACAAAAAGAAACCACTTACTGTTGATGAGGCGCTGGCCCCGAAGAGGAACAATGCCGGGAAGCTGTTATGGCCATGATCACGATCATGATCATGATCATGCCCCTCATCCCGAAGAAACCAACAAAATTAGGTGGAACAGAGTCAACAATCAAGCCATACTTATCACGACAGACCTCCAACAGCACGGATGACGAATTGCGATGACGAGCTTCAAGAACCATAGGAGAAATGTCGAATCGACAAAATCGCGGAAGCTATGACGAACAAGACCAACAGGGGAACAACCAGGATGAGAGAAAAGAGAGGTCCGACAAACCGCGATTCACCACATACAGCAAGCTCAAGCCCAACAGAAAACTTACCATAACAAGCGATACCCGAGATCCCTAGAATACAGCATAGGAGACAAAGTCCTCATGTACAGAGCCACCTTACAGTATTCAAGAAGCAACAAGTTCGACCCTAAGTGGTAAGGACTGTTTTACATATATGATCGACTATCCAACCATGTATACCAGTTGTGCACAATGGACGGCAAGGTGCTTGTATTCCCAATCAATGTCCAGAACCTAAAGAAATACCACGAGAAAAACTGATCACATAAAGGAAAAAGAAAAATACATGGTACGCATATGATAAGCATGGGGAAATGTAACAGGTAAAAATGGAACGCGACATCCGTCACGTGACCGATTGTCGCATTAATGACAAGACGGCTGTGATAATTAGATAATTAGGAAGAGACAGGAAGGAATATAAAAAAGAATTATATCATCTAGCTTTAGCCATACCATTGTATTAGCATCTATTATTCTATAGCTAAGCCGCCATAGCCAAATGTAAAAAAAGAAAAGTATAAATGGCATGTAAAAAATAAAGAGTGAGAAAACAATTAGAGAAGAAAATTAATAAAGACTTGATCAAATAAAACACGTCTCAAATCACCCTTTCATTTACTTACCTGATAACAGTTATGCGAGTCTCTGCTAGAGTGAGTGACAGACTTGCCGTTACACCGTTACAGTATTATTATTGTAATGATTGGCAAAAATTTTAGGGTACGGATTTGAGATTTCAGTGACCTTGCTTGTATTGTGCTATCAAACTTCTAACTGCTATTGCGAAAAACTTTACTATTACACTTGAGGTCAGGAAAACGGCACAAGATAGATAGCATCCCCAAGTATATATCTCACACAAAAACTCAATTTCGACCCCAAATCACCAACTACCCATTTTCATAGATCAGTCATTATATATGATCTTTCGGAAGAACCACTAAGATTATATGTATATTATTCTTTATATATTTTTATTATATTTATTTATGTTGAGAAAACATGTATTTAAAGACTGTATTTTTCCTTTAATTATCTTTAGAGTTGTCTGCTTCATTCTTATATTAATAAAATTTTCCATAATTAATAATAAACTATTGATGACAACTATAAATTTCTTTTAAAATACTAAAAACTCTTTCCCGTTAACCACATTTTTGTTGAAAAATTTCCTTAAAAAGAAGTTTTTTCAAAAACAACAAGAAGTGAGATTTTTATTTTCCAAAGACTTAAAATACAATGAATATTACTATGGAGATAAGTTTTCCCTACAGTGCCAAATTCAAATACTTTGGACCAACGGAACAGTTGAACCAAGTAAAAGAACTCTTTTCCAAAGCTTGAACCCTGTCCACCTCTATACTCTTTGTTTTA